GGGGCAGGATGATTTATATGCCAAAGTTTAATACTTAGGAATTTTGGGAAAATCCCTATAAGAATGAGCAATAGTGGCGCTTTAGAAAAAAAACACTAATAATTAGAGGGAAACACAGTACTTTCTGAATAAAATTTTTTTTTAATCCCCTTCCTGTCAAAACAGGAACAGTTCCTCAAAAATGAAAACTGTCCCGTGCTGTCACTGTTAGACTTTTGATTATCTTCGAAAACAAAGTGAATATATTTTTTATGAAACCTGAAAGATTTATGACGCTGCACTGAAAATCAATTACAAAAAAAATGTTGACTCTTCAAAAAGTTCATAAAGACATTGTAAAAGTAATCCATATGAACTGAGTAGTTTTCTGAAAAGACACAATTATGAAAACAAACCTCATTAGTCCTCACGCGTCAGGCACGTATAGCTTGGCTTCTGTTGATCATATTTGATGTGCTCTGTATCAGTGTTAATTTCGTCGACGACAACGAAAAATATTCGTTAACAAACATTTTTTTCTGTGACTAAGACGAGACGTTGATGAGCTAAAACTAATATCTGATTATAAAAACTATGACGAAATTTATGCCGCGTCTTCGTTATCAAGACGTGACGGGACTATAATGTTATTTGAGGACTACCGGACATTCAAAATACATCCTATAGGCTACTGTCTTGTCCTTCAAAATGTGTGTACCTGTCATTGGATTGCAATTGGATAAGGGGCGTTTGTATATCTAATCTCAGTATGGCAGCCGCAGTGGATGGATAGGCTACCAAAATGCGAACTAGCGATCTGAAACAATGGCCTCAGCACCCAAAAGGTGACCAGACGTCCCGTTTTTCCCAGGAGTCACAATTCGTTGTTGATTAACTTCAATTATAATTCAATTATTGAATTATTATTCAATAACTAATTCATTAAATTATATAAAGTTATCGTGTCTCTTCAGTAGACTTGTATTTAAGGAATAGTTCACCCAAAAATAATGTCATTAATTTCTCACCCTCATGTCGTTCCAAACCCGTAAGACCTTCGTTTATCTTCGGAACACAACTATTTTTGATGAAATCCGAGAGCTTTCTGACCCTCCATAGACAGCAAGGGAACTACCACGTTCAAGGCCCAGAAAGGACGTTGTTCAAATGTGACATCAGTAATAATTAATTCATTACATTTATATAGCGCTTTTCTGCTGTTGTC